ATTGACCCTAAATACAGCTAAGGACCCCCTGATCCTGGTGAGGATTCCTGCTGGCTGATCCTGGTGAGGATTCCTGCTGAATCAATGGGTCCTCAATGGATTCCTTTATTCTATTCCTTTCCTTTATAGATTCTTATACTAAAGGAAAAATCTCTACCAATACTAAACAGTTGAAAACAGTGCTTAAGTCTATTTGAGGTCTTTCAGGGAGGGGGGGGGCCCGTGCCTTCGACGGTTCGCGACCATTTAGCGGCTTCATTTTTAGATTAGGTTTGTACTCACACCTGCGGTCTTCTGAGTCAACCCCCCTATAGTGGGACACACCGCAATGTCCTTTATTTCGCATTTTTGCATAGTCAGTTGTCCATGTGTCGCTGTGAAACAGCAACTAACGAATGGTTGAGCACTGGATAGAGTACAACAGCTTGTCTTGCAGAGTTTAGCGCACTTACTATGGTTCTCGAATAGGAGTGGTCTGAGAGGAGAATTTTACATTGGGAATCCGACGTATTGTTTCCGCGCTCATCGCCCGCAGCATTCAAATTACGAATTGGTCAGAGTAGGACGCCTCCTCCGGCATGTCCATTTTTGTAGGTGCCTGGCATTGTCCCGTGCTCATGAATCCAACCTCAAGGCTGAAAAACACCAAAACATCTTGAAACTGGATCCTATTGATACCCTTAGCTTTGTCTGCCACTGAACTGCCCAAGAAAGCAGCACAAATCATCCTGCTGCGCACTCTGCATCGATTCCTATCATTGTCACCAATCAAGGTCAAGGCAACAACAGCTGATCCGTCAGTCTCTTCAGTGCCCGCATGACATTTACTTTGACGAACACATGACATGGAAGTGGAAAATCCCTTGTTTGTAAAGGAAAGTAGTCTTCCAAGGGAGTATTTTCCCTTCCATGTTAGCAAGCCAGAATGTAATATAATATATATATATATATCACTGTGATATGAGGATGTTGCGCAAGATCTCCTGGATTCTACCAGTCAGCTTGCTCTCCTTGCGCTTTTGGGGCCCAAATCGACCGATGTCTGACTGGTGAGACGTCGGGCGGCGTCCCAAATCGACCTCTGTCCCAATGAGAAAGTTCCCAAATCTCTCCAAACATACCTCAAGTCTCAACCCAAAAAGTTTGCGCACGCGAACGGCTTTTCCCCTGGCATTGCCGCAGCCGGGCTCGATGTCTCCAGCTGCCTGGCAACAGACTCAATTCTGCGCTTCGAGGTGGCCTTATCGCTTTCAGTGGAAAACAACCTGAGGGTCAATCTGGCTGACAAGCTCTGGGAAGATGACTGGTACCCATACCTTGCACATCCTTTGAGCCCCAACTGCAAGGGAAGCTATGGCGCAGGTCATGTAGTGGTCGCTACATGGCCCAAGAGGAGTTCCAACACTTCAAGAATCTTCATGGCCCAGTTCGAGGTGTGACTGGGGGTTACTGAATGTCACCTTCAGGGTGCTGAGTAAGAAAATTTGCTGTTCGCCCTTCTCTGAAGAGTGCCTTGGATCGCCCATCAGCATCAGGTTGCAGAAATCGGCTTTTGATCACCACCAGACGTTAGCATTTCTTCGACTACACCTTGAAACTCCCCAAAGCCCGAAAACCAGTCCCAAGCCCAAAGGGAAAGGCACCGGAGAGGCCCGACCAAACCCCTGTTTCACGTCGATCCGGTCACCACCGCAACCACCGTAAGCACCGTGATCGGCTTGGTCGGGCTGATCGGCTTGATCGGGGTCATCGGCTGGATCGGGCTCATCGGCAGGGCACATCGAGTGGATCGGGCTGATCGGGCTGATCGGATCTGATCGGCTGGGGCGGCTGGATCGGGCAGATCGGCCTGATGGGGCGGAACGGGCTGATCGGCTGGATCGGCTTGATTGGGCAGATCGGCTGCATCGGTTTGATTGGGCAGATGTTTGGTCCAGTGTTTGGGTACACGGAACGCCCCAACCAGACCTTATAGGTTTGCCCATAGTGACATACTGATCTACAGGGCGCGGCGCGGCCAGCTGCTCTCTGCATGGTGGATTTTGATATTATAGTACCTAACATTGCAGTCTGACCTGAAGTTTGTGCCAGTCATGACATACTGATATGCCGGTGAATGTTACTATCGTATCTAACATTGCATATCGATCTTAGTTTTGCAGTAACGACCGACTGATATGCAGGGCGCGGCGCAGCCAGCTGCTCTCTGCATCTTCGATTTCATGATTCGCGCGCAAGCGGTCACCCGTGATAGCGCCTTAAGTCCTAGAGACTGAATGCATGAAACTTGTCAGATTTACCTAGTCGCTCGATTAGGACTCACAGGTACTGTTGATAAACGCGACACAGAAGGCAGGAAAACGACACCAAGAAAATGCAAATGATGCAGCGCAAGAGGAACGCATTATTAGCACCACGGGCCTTGAAAAACAGATATATCAGATATATCTGGTTTTCTGAGTGAAAGCTTACACAGGTAATGCTGAAAAATGCGACCCCGAAGTCGGAAACGTCATGCAACTTTGTGAAAGTCTTTTCAGGACGTGTGAAACACGTGCACTTACATACCCCGTGTGCACTTACATACCCCGTGTCCGTTGAGCGGAAAAAGTTGCGTGTGCTTCTGATCGTCTGGTCGTCGATCTCGATTTGTGTTTAGAAACTAGTAACTAGTTGGCGGCCCAAAGGAGAGGACTTAATGCCACTGGAAAATAAAAAGGCCAAATTTTTGCAGCTTTCCAACTATTGTGTTTAAACAACTTGTTCTGCAATATTTGACCCAGGTTTAGCACAGCGTAAACTGCGCAAAGGCATTGACAAAGTCGCGTAGAAATACGGGATGCACTTGCAATGCACATGCATGCGCAATCATATTCCACAGCGCACTGGGTGGAAACAGTGAGCAAGCATGAACTTATATATATTAATCTGTATTCATATACTTACCGTTTAGCGTCGACACGTGTGAAATGCAAACATCCGTAGGATTGAAACGTCATCGCGGCCTGTAATGGTTAAGTGGGTACAAGGCAGCTCCAAACATGTGAGTCTTATAGACATGTTTGACATTGACAAAGACGCAAACGAGAGGGTAATACTACAGATATACCACACAACCAAGAAGCAAAAACGCAAACGACTGAGAAATCAAACAAAAACAGACGCATGAGGCCACCTTCTAGCTATGCGCATGTAATTATAGTGTTGGTGCGATAGACGCTTGCCCCTGGCCGAACAATGGAAAGCTCACCTCACCCTGCTTCAGCCGTGGAAGACGCGGCACTTCCTTGCGCACGACGACCTGGCCGCCTAGGCTCACATCAGGTGCTCTTTGCATAAAGTGCATGGCATAGGCGTTGTTTTTTAGTGCCATGGTTATGCTGTGGCTTGGCTTAGCGGTGGTTGTTTCTTCTTAGTATGGCAATACTTTTGGCTCAGTCTTCTGCCAAGGCACTTCTTTTGCGTAAAGACGGTTCTTTTCGGTGAACTTGGTTGCGCTGCGCGATGTGGATGCTTCAGCTTCCTGTTCTTCACTTCCTTCTGCCACTGCTCGGCTTTCTTTGCCTTCAAGGCTTTCCTGGCTGCAACCTTCCTGGGATCCAAGCTATGCACAGGCTTGCGCAAGGCTTCTCTGCAAAGGGTTGGTCCAATCTGCCTCTCCTCCAAGCATAACACAAACCCTTTGATCAAACGACCTTGCATCAAGCTCAAGATTTCTGATTCCTTTCTCTGCGCCAAAGTTGGGTGGTACGCGGCCGAATGATGTGCCAACAGCTTTGCCAAGCTGATTGCTTCCAGCTGCGGAGGAAAGGTTTGGATGCGCTGTTGGATGATTTGCTCTTGACAGGCTTTGAGCTGGAAATGTAAAGCCTCGTTGCTGCAGGTGCCAAAGCTGAGGAGTTCCACTTCCTTCGGGTCCATGGCATGGTGGAGGGCTTCTATGATGTGGGAGCCGTTCCATAGGTAACGGAAATGCTTGTAGGACACACCGGCTCGCAAGATCTGCTCGATTGTACGGCCCTTCTTGTCTTTCTTGTGCATCTGGTCGAAGTGTTGAGCGCAGAGCACTTGGACGTCATCAATGTATTCCTGGTGGCTTGAGTATGGCTTTACCACCCTGTCATCCCAATTCCAATCGCCAGGTACATCCTCTTCGGCAAAGTCCTCGGACCAATGCGCTTGATCACAGTCATCGTCATTGGTGCGACCGTGGTAGAAAGGTCTTGGGCAAGGTAAGCGGAAGCGTTTCATGACCCGGAGGAGGCGCGATGACAAGGAAGTACGTTTCTCTCCTGTGCAGGCTTCGACGCGCAGCACTAAATGCAAGGCATCTTCAGCCACAGCCACAAGGTTTGGCAATACTGCATTGGCACCTTCCACAAAGGCAGGATTGTCTGAAAAGACGTACTGGGAGGACTTCGGCAACGGCTGAACAAAAGTTGGCAGGTCCTTCTGCGCTCTGGAGGCTGAAGCCCGGCACGGCCCCGGAACGCCCCAGAAAGGTATGGAGTGCGTGGTATTCACCTTTCTTCTGTTGCATCGGTAGCTGTCCGATGGCACTGAACAGGACTTGAAAAGTGGCATCGTGGCTACAAATCAGCCATTCCTTCTGGTCAGTGGCCGTATTGACTAAAGCATCCCGCAAGTTTTTGACGGAGGTTGAAGCCATGACCTGAGCAAAAACAGCCTGGCGGGTGTCTGCTCGACGGCACCCGAGCCACGCACAAGGGCTACCCCTCGACACCCATTCCATGGTGATGTCGTTGAACATGCTGTGGATCTTGCCCTTATGCTTGATTGCTTTGGCCACAAAGACATTGGTGATGTATAGCATCTTGTCAACGCTGGTGCAGTTTGCTGCTTGAGGACATACTTTGGGCCATCCTGCGTCAACAACAAAACCAGGTCGATGGAATTTTGAGTTGCAACAAGGCCAAAAAAGCAAAATCGAGGTCGGACCAGGTGCGAATGCATTGCGCAGCCTGGCATATCAATTGCTCGTCTGCAACGCATGGGACGGCCAAAGCGCTGAGCGCCTGTCAAGGGCTAAAAAATGAAAGCTATCCGGAAGTGAGTGTCGTGTTTTAAGCTTCCAGGCCTGCTTTTGCTCAAAAATGGCGCATGCAACGTGGAACTGGTACTTGGTCGTCACGAAATCCTTTTCAGGTTTATGGTACTTCTGCACGTGCGTCAACAAATAAGATCTTCGGCTGAATTTCCTCCAGGGGCACAAGGTGCACTTGTAAGTCTCACGCGGGTTGAGGCATCCTTCCTCGCTCCGTAAACCTCGGACAGCGAAGCTCCGACTCGACTGGAGGAAAAGGCGGAAAATATGCGACGACCTCAGCAGTTGGGACCATTGGTGGGTATCGTAGGGTGCGCTGGCTGCAAACGCACCCGTCGTGGCTGAGCAATGAGGCGCTATGCTTTCATGCGCAGATATGTGTCAGTTTTTCCCATGATAGCGACAGCTACAGGGATTCTTACTTCTCAATGAGTGGGTGGCTGATCGGCGTTTTCGGGTCGACAGTTGCTGCTGCTACCTTGTCTCCCTCTTTGTCTCCCTGCTTGATCGGCATTGGCTTTGCCACAGCCCATCTTGTCTCCCTACTTGATCGGCATTGGCTTTACCGCTAGTCTCCCCCTGCTTGAGCGGCGTTGGCTTTACCGCTGCTACCTTGTCTCCCTGCTAGTCTCCCTGCTTGTCTCCCCCTGCTTGATCGGCATTGGCTTTACCGCTGCTCCTATTTGTCTCCCGCTTGTCTGCTTGCTTGATCGGCGTTTGCTTTGCCGCTGCTGCCTTGTTTCCCTACTTGTCTCCCTGCTCGTCCCCCTGCTTGTCTCCCTGCTTGTCTCTCTCTGCTTGATCAGCGTTGGCTTTATCGCTGCTGCCTTGTCTCCCTCTTTGCCTCCCCCTGCTTGATCGGTGTTGGCTTTACCGCTGCTGCCTTGTTTTCCTATTTGTCTCCCTGCTGGATCGGCATTGGCTTTGCCGCTGCTGCCTTATCACTAAGTCCATTCTTTGGAGCGGAGAAGCATTTATAGTGGCAAAGGTTAGCGCTTGGACCAGCTCCTTGTGATGCAAAACACATTTAAGCCAGCAAAGAAAGAGCGTTGCGAAACACTTCACAAAACAACGGCGTTGCAAAGCTTTGAAGCGCGGTTGGTCCATCCAACGCCACGCTTGCAAATAGTGGACTGAAGCTTGCTGACATTGGTGCAAGGAGCCTGAAACAAAAACAAAGTTTCGAACGCAACATATTTCTTGCTATCAGGGGTCTACGCCGGCGTAATTCCCTGGGAGGCGCTCGAAGTTTTGAGGTGGATGGATTTTGATGCATGATGGTCATGATGGTATGCTGCTTCATGGTTCATAGGTGGCCAAGCAGTGTCTGTTCAACTGTGCAGCTGAGTCCTGGACGTGTGATTTCCCGGTCGACTTCCTTGCGCATGCTGTCTTTCAGTTGCATCCTCAGGCGTTCCCAGCTGGTTTCCTCGCTATCGCATTCCATTCCAGCTTTCAACTGCAACTCGATGGAGGTTGCGTATTCCTTTTTTCGCCGCTTGGCCGCAGGATCTCCGTTGGGTAGCACATGGACGTTGAAAATGTATATCCCCGGGACATTCTGCAACTTGTCCAACAAAAGGCTCGCGTTGGTCTGAATGCGCTCCTCTTCAGTCGAGCTGTAGATGCGCATGGCCGCTTGAACAAGTTTCAGCCCATATGCATGGCCAATGTCTGCGCCCGAAGCATGGGAGGTGTGCAGCAAGAAGCATGTTCCATCAGTGCGTTGCTTTGCTTGGGCCCAAGAGATGGGTTCAATCGCTATCTGAGGGCACAGCTGCATGGCACGTTGGTAAGATATGGGCTCTGTCAAGTTTGCAGTTGCTTCTTTGATGGAAGATTCTTCTTCGGGAAACAAATTGAGGAGAGCTGTTCCGATGCAGGAGTAGCATCCATGTACGTGCTCGATGCTGTGCATTCGAATGCCCTGATTCGAGGCCAGAATGTCATCCAGAATCTGTTGGACTGTGAGAACAGGCGGGGCAGTGTCCAAGGCTTTCTTGCATGGTGATGCCTGTCAGGCTTTCAAAATCAGCCAGCAAGGCCAACCCACGGGAAGTTTGGTCATCCCCATCGCTGAGCTGCCTTTCTGGCACAGCGAGCACTGCGTCAAAGACCGGCCCAACCAAAGCAAAACCATGTTTAGGCAACAGGTCGCAGAACTGTCGCATAGCTGTGCGTTCCTTGTCGAACAACAAGAAGGCCATTGTAGATGTTTCTGGGCGAGGCTTTTTTGCTTCTTTCATAGCTTGTAGGACCTGGGGAAATTTCTGACATAGCAGCTCTCTCAGTTTCATGGCGTCTGCTGCTAAACCTTCTAGCAATGGGCAGGTGACGGGGAGCCCCGTTGCCCGCGATGGAAAAGCAAAGCCGAATCAGGCCATCAAAAGGGCTTTCTTGGCATCATGTTCGGGCAAAGAGAACCAGCTCATGACCACTTTGCGCCACTCCGCTTTGAAAGCGTAGTAGCGGCGAAAGCATGGCAAGTCCAGCCCATACTGACGGGCAAAGTCCAAAGCAAAGTGCACCACGGCATTTGGCACGTCGAACTCCTTTGTTCCCGGAGGGCTACCGCAATTCCTTGCGGCCCGAGACAGACTTGGGAAACTCACCCATGGGAAGAAGGCTCTCCCAAGAGATTCTCCGGCAACCTTTTTTTGATGACCGGTGCATGGAACAACCATGACGCCAGCGCCCTCGTCGCGGCCATCTCTTGCACACTGTTCGGCCACTTGCGTGGCATGTTGTCCTTTGACTCCGGGCGCAGCGGTCCCAAAATTTCGCAGGCCGTCCACATTGACTCTGCAAGAGATGGTCCAAGAGTCTCCCTGGGGGAAGCCGATTGGTTCATCAAAGTTATCCGCATTGGAAGTCTCCGCGGCTGAAGGCCAAGCCCAGTCTGCCCAAGTACCGGCGACTTCTTGGACACGCGTCTCTCCCACAGATGTTTCTAGGCAGCGGTGCCACTTGTTGGGGTCCAGGCACCTGCGCTCAAAGCGACCCGTCTGGCTGCCACCTCGAACAACGCCATCCACCGCGCGAATGAGATGTGGACATGCGGGCAAAGCTTCCTTGAGGCACTCCACTCTCAGCTTCTTGCCAGCCCGGTTTGGGGGAGCTGCGCCAGGGTTGGAAGCCAAAGTGATTCTGTTGACGTCAGCCTTAGTTCAAAGCAGCGGTGTAGGAAGCGCGACGCGTGGAGGTACTCGGATCGCTTGCTCTAGTTGTCTAACTAGTGTTACGAGTTTTCAGAATCAGAAGTAGGGTAGCGCAGAAGTACATGTCATGGTGATGACCCGGCCAACAGGAAGATGTCCGGAGCACAAGTCCCTGAGGTTCTGGCTGCCGTGAAGAACTGGCTTTGGATGGCTGCGTGGGTGTCTCGGACCAAGCGCTCGGACGCAGATGCAGCGGCGCTAGGCGCAGGCTGCGGAGCCCCCGGCCCGCAAGGCAGGTCTTGGTCTGGATGCAGGCTGTCATCAGAGCGACTGATTTTGCGGAGGAGCCACTGCGCGTCCTTCTGCAAGCATGTTCCTGGCCGGAGGTGCTCCAAATTGTCACTGCATTTCTGAACCCCAGTCACCCGAAGATGAGGGAACAAAAAGTCCTGGAAGAAGCACCATACTGCGTCCCCAGAGGCCATGAATTCCTTAGCAGTGGGGTCTGCTTGGAAGACTCTGTTGGCGACGTCCACCTCATCGTGGTTCGCGGTGAACTTGGACCGCGTGTAGGTGCAACGGAACCTCCTTCGATGAGAAACCTCTTCCGCCGTTGGCACCTTGGGGATATCCCCGACATTCATAGCCCAGACTTTGCCAGTGTTGGGCCAATGCCCGTGTCTGGTCTCTGCTTCGTGGTTTCTCCGCAAAGGGAGCCAGCCACCACCAACAAAGACCTTGACAATGTCTTCCACGAGCCCTTGGTCTCGCTTGCATTCATCAAAAGTGAGGAATGCTGCGTGGATGAAATTGACCCCTTGCACCTGGAACTCTCGGTCTGCTTGGAGCATTGTGCATGGCGCGCAACGGAAGCCGCTGCCGAACACAGCCCGCATGTGGTCGACAAAAATCAGAGTTTTGCCATCGTGGCCACAGCCGACGACGACGTGCAACGCATCTGGCTGTCTGACCCGGGCCACCACCAGGGCACATTGGTTGAGCAAGACTTGGAGACCATCAGACCCTGCGAAAGAAGACAGCAGGATACTTGCGTATCGCTGACGTGTTGCCATGGTCGGGGTCTGGGAGAAGGGCGTCGGAATGGAGAGGTAACAACCATGGCGGGCATCTTTGTTCATCTGCTGCGGCGTGCCATCCACAGTGGAAATGAAGGCATCCTGGAAACACAGACCTGGCTGCTGCTGAAAGCGAATCTCTTCGTCACCCCAATTGTCCTGGGACTGGACCCGGGAGATTGCGGAACGGAACAAAACAACTCATGACATGACACGTGCGCCGCGTTTGGAGACGCATGTATGCACAAACAAATGTAAAATAATATACATATGAGTTTTCAAAATTACTGGCTAAAGCTGTATTCATTCAAAGTTAGGACGTCCCGTATCGTTTTACAGTGTTTGGTAGAATGAGCACAGTACGTATCGTTTTGTAATGTTTTACATGTTTTGCATGGTGGGGTCTTGCCACCAACAATGAACGTCACGGATCATAACAAACAAAACACCAACACAAACGCACAAACAACAAAACAAAGGAACCCTTATTCGTGATCATTCATGATCTGAGAGCGTTTGCTGGAAGTGTGACGAGCTCTGTGTAGTGAGAAAGGACAACAGCACGGAGGGCTGCTCCCTTCTGCCGCTCGTTTGCTGACTGATCTGATCTCTTTCACTAGAAGACACAAGCCTGCCTGCACCTTGGCAGACTTGCCCTTGGGGATCGTTAGGGTATCGTTTTGGGGTATCGTTTTATGATGCTGACTTTGCTTTTTTTATGACATCAACCTGCCTGCAAGCACACAACCCCTGTCCAAACCAAGACAGGCGGACAAAGGCGCGCCCCTTGTTCCAGAGCCTAGCCTTTCCTCGTAGGCTGGGGCCAGCCCATGAGCCAGGAGCCACGACACAGCCCGCGAAACACAAGCAATCACAATCCCTAATTGCCTGTGACACTTGCAAGAACAAACCGGTTGATGAAGTGACGCCCTTCAGACCCTTGAGCAGAAATGCTCAGAATAGTTGCTGTAGCAGGACGACATACCAAAATTAAGTCAAACAACTCAAGGAACTGATGCATGTAACAATAGAGGCATCGTTTTTTTGGACGTCCCGTATCGTTTTCCAAGGAAAACCTAAAATCGCACTCTTGGATGAAACGCCCTTGTACAAAGTAAATGACGATAATTTTGAAAACGGCTCACATATATATATATATATACATAATATAGAAGCGTTTCCATAGGTATATGTATAGCGATTTGTTGACGATGGTTCATGGCCATTTCCATGAATTGATTCTGAGCCTGCTCTTGCAGAGTTTGGTATCCAGCTTCGGCTGCATTGATGAATGATCGCGCCTGGATTTTCATCTCCTCGTTCTGGGAAAATGCTTCATCAGCTTCACCTCGGAGCCTCTGTGCCGCGAGCATTAGTTCTGCTCGCTGCCCCTCCAGTTGCTGATTCTGAGACGCCTGGCGCATCATTTCTGCTACATTGCAGGAGGTGTATGCACGAATGAAAAATTGGCCTGGTCGAAAATCGGCGTGGTGTTCCCGCCCGCTCCCCATCCATCAGCTGACATAGTAGATCCTCCGTCTGGTGTAGACGAGACGCCTGGATCCATCAGTGGTAGATGAAAAGCGGCGGGGTTTCCACCCACGCTCTCCCGCCCATCCGTACTTCCGTACGGCGCAGCCAGCCTCGCGAGGGCTGTCGGGTCAAGACTCATATCCATGGCTGCGAATGACGAGGGAGCGATACTACGGGCCTATGGCTATACGGCTGATAACTTATGTTTACAGGAAATCAGCCTAAAGCGCTCAGCTTTTTCCTTGAGCCAAATAGTCGAGGTAGCGAGGTATATGTACAATGTATACGTGGAACACTAAACAAAAACAGATTCTTTGGCCTTGGGGTTAGACATGACATAACCTCTTTCTTGTTGACGGGTCTAGCAACTAAACCATTGATGGCTTTCTCGAGCTGCCAGCCGGTCATGCTGAGTATAGCTTATTATCCCTATGCCGCCTATGCCTGCGTTGCTGCCGATTAAGGGTTGGCATCGCTGGGATCACTTCGAGCTCGGCCTCGCCTTCCGGCTGGCTGGACGCTGCGGGAGTGGAAGTCTTCTTCTTTCCGGCTTGCTTGGATTTAGCTTCTGCCTCTTCGGTAGCGATTTTCTTTTGCTCCCGTTCTATCTCCTTGCGTCTTTGTCCGACCGACATTTGCCGCCATACAAAAGGCGGTATGTGTAATGGCTTACTTGACCCCTTAAAAACCTTCTGGCCTTAAACCCGTCGGCGCTAAAAAACCTTGGGTCGTTGGCCTTGATCCGTTCGACTCTGGCGGTCGCGGGGTCTATCACCTCAATCTCTCCCTCAACTGCAATCTTGTCCCTTTCAGCTTCACGAACCCTGAGTTCGAGATTGGCCTTTGAAAAGATCGAAGCAGTGTACCCATATTCAGGAGGTGGAGACTTTGCCATGGTTCAATGACCAAGTCCCCCTCAAGGACGCGCCGCGAATCATCACCAGACTGCATAACGGTGGACCGGACGGGGTAGTCTTTGGTGTCATACGTAGGACGTGGGTCACAAAACTCATCCTAGTTTCTCCGAACCGTCTGGATTCTTAGTCCTTAGGAAAGCTAGCCACGCGGCATTCCAGATTGCCTTACCACCTACTGCATCGGCATGAGGCTTCACGTCTCTCTCGAGCTTCTCGACTGGGAAGGATTCAGGCTGGTTCATATTGGCATCCTGATCTTCAAGAGGCGGCAGTTCTGGCTGATCGACTATAGTTCAACTCTGCCTTCACTCCTGATTACCTTTGCCTTCTGCATCGGACATTCAATTGACTTGGGGACACTGATCTGGCTGACTCTAAGTATTGGAACCTTCTCCTCATGGCTCGCTCTCAAAACACTTGGAAGTGACATGACAGAGTATTCGTCCCGAAACAGACACCAGGACGCAGTATGTATCCAATGAAGATCCCCGGTGCAGAGGTTGGGTCAAATCTCAAATCGTCCTCAACCCTCTTTCTTGGTCCGGTCGAATAGTCGATCTTGCATCCGAAAGGTACAATCGGGCCCTTGAACCGTTCACCAAATCTCAGCTCCCATGGCGACTGATCTTCATCATCGAACTGAGCGATGTTGTTGCTCATGCACCAATGCCTAGCAGCATGAGGCCAATATTGATGATGTAGGCCTGATTGCAGAAAGCTCACTCGCGTCCCTTCCACAATGGATCGGATGGTGCGCTCTGCAACAGCATTGCTCTGCGAAATATAGTCCTTCGATGCGATGCGCCGCCACTGTCGCACACGTGCTGCACTCAGGAGTTCTGGAGCGTTATCGAGTAAAAGATGTTGACCACAGCTTCGTCTAGGACAAAATGTTTGAAGGAGTTCACGGTGGACTCCGCGTCTTTGCGCGCTGATGGGTAAACGTATGTAATCCCAGAAAACACATCTTTCAGTACAAGACCAACACCTCATCCTCATCACCCGCTTCTTCACCCTTCGCGGCGATAAGAAAGTCTCCAGTAATATGGTCCCCAAAAGATTCAGCCTCAATCTGTCTGGATCCTCCTCTGGCTCTTGAGGGATACTTGATCATCTTTGCCTTGCGGCAAACATCACAAAACTCGTTCTTGGGAATGTGAATCATCAAGTCACCCTGTCCCCTTTCTGCCACCTAGGGTCCTGGTACCTGATCGTCCAGGGCATCATTAGTAGGGTTAGAATCATCCGTTGGCGGCTCGACCTTCCAGTCGGGCGGCTCAGCCTTCCGGCTAGCTTCTTCCGCTTTTCTCCTACCATCATCATCACCACCCCCCGCATCACATTCGATGAAAAGGCGTCAGCCCGAACACCAGCGTCGACGACAGGACGGGAGCGAGACTTGCAAGGCATTGCTTTATTGACCTTTGATGGGACGTACGGTACATAATCTCGTACTGTTAATCTAATTCGGGCACCATCAGGCTTTTGGAAGTACTTTTCTTTGCCGGCTCTCCAAACAAAGTCGTAACCTTCATCCATACACTTAATACCTACGGACATCACAGGTCGTGTGGATTCGACCAAGTACGGCGTGAAGTTACAGCCAAGGGTTTCATTTCTCACTTTGCCCTGAAGGTACGACGGACTCTCTCCATTCGCTGTGATGATGGAGATTGGCTGATCGGAGAAAAATTGATACCTGTCCGGAATGTCATATTTTGTCGCAAGGTCCTGAGCACTTCCGGTGTCTGCAATCCATTCCTCGCCTGATAGGACGTAGTGCTCGACACGCTGTTCTTGGGTATGAAATGGTCACAACCTATTGTGGACTTACACAAGAAGCGACACCTAGCTTTGAACCCTTGCAACTCGTTTCTGGCCGCTCCGGCAAGCATCTTGGCCGACAAAATGGAATCTTCAATGACTGATGGGTCTGGGCTCATAGCAAAATCGGTTGGGTAAAACTTCGATGGATTGGTCCTCTCAACTTCGTATTGGAACAGGTCACCGGTGACATGATATTCAGTCATGTTCGGCTTAGACTCGAACTTCACCCTGATCTTGGCTGGACAGGCAACGCGGCCAACCGTTCCCCGCGGCAAGTCCTTCAACGGATGACGCAAGCATGGACGCCACCAGACAGACAGCAGCAGGCGTGACCCTGGGCGAAGATCGGCTTTTCGACTACCGTGACCCCTCAGATCCGGATCGGCGTCCGCTCTTATCCCGCTTGCCCCTCTTGTGTTTCTTCCGCTTGTCCTTCTTATCGCTACCGCGAGAACTGCGGGATCCTGATCGGGCAGGAGTGGCCTTGCGGGGTTTCTGCTTGCCTGAATTCAGATTCCCTTCCCCTCTTGCAACGTCCGGCTTTCCAATACTTACATGTAATCTTTGACTTGTCTTTACCTTCCCGACTGGTAGATCGTCCTCGGCTCGGTTTTCGAGTCTTCTTTGGAGAGGAGTCTCATGTTTGTACGCGCAATTGTCTTTGGTGCAACTTCCCTTGTTCCATGCAACACAATACCCCTTTGGGATGAATGGAGTCTTCTTCCGATCGTCGTCGACTGCGGGAGTGGACGGCTTCGGACCTCCAAGGCTACTGTGGATCCGATCGCGGTTCGACTCGAGCCTTTCCCTCCGGAGATACCTCTGCGCAGAATCAACAAGGAACTTGTAGGAATGGTTTTCAGTACCCTCCTCAGCACGGTTGTAGACTTCAATGTCATGCTGGATGGCACGTACGTTCTTGACTTGCTCATAGAAAAGGGTTTCCAACGCGGACGGGTCCGGAGGATGGGTGATTCCGGCGTTGACCGTGTCCCAATTCGAAATGAAGGTTCTCAGGTTCTCACCTTTGAGCTTCACGGCAAACAAGTCCTTTAGGGAGTACGTGGCCCCATGCTTGATATTCGTGCTGAAGAATTCATCCATCATCAATAAAACTTGTCTTCCTCTTACAGGGCGATCGGCTGCAGATTCCTTTTCTTTGAAAGTATTCACCTTCCTAGCGAACTCGCCTGAACAAATTTAAGGTTCGATAGCGCTGACAAAAGCTTGGCATCAAGGGTCGTGAATCGTGAATCCCTCCGGGTCTACCAAGTCGGCAGTGACAGCGCCCTCTTTCCAGCTTTGTCGGGAGTCTTCGATGCGGCCCGAACGGCGTCTCGAACCTTGATCTTCCAATCCTGGTAGCTTTCAGGGTATGGAAAGGGTGGCACCTTGATGTGATCAGCTTCCTTGGCATTATTCTCAGAGCTTTTCTTATTCCCCTTGAGAAGTTGTTTGAGGGCTTTCAACAAGTCACGACCTGAAACATCATCCTCTTCGTCGTCGTCGTCCCCATCGTCACCATCATCACTTGGGTCATCTGAGTCTGGTGGATCACCATCGCCAGCAGTTGATTTCTCCGGACCCGGCCGAAGGTTCCCCTTGGCTTCATCAATCTCCCTTGGAGGCCGGTCTCCATCCCCTGGCTGAGGTGGAGGAGGGTCAGCTCCGCTCGCTCGATCTGGAGCCTTCCCGGTCGGAGCGGCTTTGGCTAGCGGAATGATTGGGGCAGGAACTTCACCCGACCTCATCGAATTCAAAGGAGAACGAAACAGGGATTCCTCAGTGGGCTCATTCTTTACGATGGGAGCACTCTTCGGCTCCTGCTTGATCGTCTGTCGAAGTGCGGCCGGATGAGCGATCGAGGTGTATATTCATGGCCGTTTATCTCGTCGTTTCCTCCTACCCGAATCATTGGGACAGCCCTGGGACCAAGAACGGCAACCTTCCGGTCCGCGAACCGTGGACCGAGAATTGAACATGTCGTTCTGGCGCCTGGCGTCATGAAGGGCAGACAACTGGCTCTGAAGATCGCTTTGCGATTTCAATCATTGCCTCAACTCCAAACGAAGGCTTTCTGTCTGACGGTTCTGATGCCCGACACGGTTGTTCAATGATACGATGGTAGCCACGCACTTTTCAATCCCTGGGCATCGGCTATTGATTCTAATCAATAAGATACAAAAATTATTGATATTGATTTTAAATCATATATTTTTAATTGATTCTGCGACATCCAAAATCAATTACAAAATCAATTGAAAAATGTCTATTTTTGCATGACCAAAATCAATAGCAAAATCAATTGCAAAAGCTCATTTTCCACCACTTTGCATTGCCCAGCTTTTGGGGCTGCTCTGCTTGATCCTTTTTTTGTCAAAAAGGAAATGGTGTGAAACAGCATAGCCCTTTCCCTTTTTTGTCAAAAGGGAATGTGGCACCAGTGAGAGACCAAACCTTTTGTCAAGGCTCATCATCTTCAAAAGCAAAGCCCTGCTGAGTGAGTTGAAGATGAAGAAGTATTCTGTATTTGTCCATCAACTTGCAGCTGATCCTGCTAGCCTTCACTCCAAAAGAACAGCTGTGGCCAAGCTGGGAAATTTTCCCAACAAAGTCCTCTGCTCTGAAATTCTGGTGTGCCCTGTAGTTCAAGAACTCACAGTTACAGTTCTTGAACATATGCATGGCTGCATGGAACTTGAAGGTGATGTTGAACATTTTTCTGTTCTGAGATGCAGCCCAATCATTCAAATCCTGGTAAGCATCAAAGAACCTTTTGGCAAGGTTCTGGCCATGGTTAAATTCTTCTTTTGTCAAGAAGGCACCAAGGCTATCGAAGTGGCTGGTGAGTTCATTGAAAGCCTTGATGCATAAGAGCATTGTGTCATGAAGTGCAGACTCTCTACCTTGCAAGGCTTCTCTGAAGACAATTTCCAAGCAAGGGAGGAAATGTTTGCATTCAGAGGCCTTAGCCTCTAGACATGGAAACTGTTTGTGCACTTTCTGAGGGTTCCACACCATAGAAGGTCGAAGGTTGGTGAGCCTTGCAGACACATTCTGCTCCACATAGATCTCCCTGATTCTTTCGAAAATTCTGGCCAGCCTTGTTGAAGGTGCTACCTTTTGCCTCTTTGGCCAATCAAAAAAGCATAGGTAGAATAAGAGGTTTCCTGCAAGATGAGAAGCCACACCTCTGGAGTACAGAACATGGAGGGAGTCCTGTCTGACCAAGGCACTGGATACCCCCTCAATAGAGAAGAGAGGGTGGTTGCTCCTTTTGTCAAGGAGTGCATCATCAGGAGAAGTGAAGATGAACTCTTGCTCAGACTTTTTCAAAATCTTCACAGATTTACCTTCTTCACATTCTACTCCTCTATAGAGTGGCTGTTCACAGTCACACTCATGGCATGGATTT